AAAAATAAAAATAAAAACATACACACTTAATAGATCTTAGTTGGATTTTTTAAATAATAAAATAAACTAAAATCCGAAATTTAAAGTAGCATTTAATGTTGTATGATTTTTAAGAAAAAATAAGAAAAATAATAAAATTACTATTTATAAGCTGCATTAAATTCTGACCTATTTTTTAACTACTATTTTTAGTAAATGATTATATATATATAGATTATCGAGATATGAATTGAATTTTGATCTCGATATATTTCTGGCGGTTAAGGACAAACAAGTAACCATTTATAATCTATACTTATTTTAAAGGGGGTACTATTTACTAAATGTAGTATGTAGAATAGTCAACTCTAATTAATGATTTGCTATTTTTATCAATCATTTAGTTAATGCATCTAATATTTTTGGCATGCAAATCAAATTAGCATTTAATTAGTTCCTAAAATATTGGGTATGCAATATCAATTTAGGAATATCTATGTAGTTCCTAAAATGTAGGTATGCAATACATAAATGAAGATTTTTTTATTTTTTTTTAAATATAAAATATTGCAACACTTACAACTATTCCAGTTATTTTTTTATTTTATTTTACATATAAAATTTAATCAATATTTAATGCATCCTACAAAATTGGATTTAGTTTAGTTCTCCATACAATTGGTTGTAACTTTTTCAGTTGTACATTTTTTATTTATTTATTTTACACTTTTAAATTAATGAAGCTCTCCGAAAATACCAAATCAAATGATTGATGAAAGTTTTTTTTTTTTTTTTTACAATTTTAAATCTATATACCCAGCTTAAAAAACTCATCGCACGGACGAGTTTAAGAAAATTTCATAACCCAGCTTATAAAATTCCATCTCCACGAGTAAAAAAAATCACATCCCTCATCTATCGTAACAACTTTAAACGTAAATAAATAAAAGTCTAATTACTACTATAAATCCATTATCTATATAGGTTTTTTAAAAATGTAAATTTCACCTGTCTCATTACTAATATTTTAGATACTTTTAAATATTATTTGTATAATTTTTTTCTACACATTTGCTCTCTCTCTCTCTCTCGCTATATATATATACATATATGAAGGTTAAATGAAGAATTTTTAGACATATTTTTCTTACGGGTAGTTTAGCAAAATTTAGGTAGCTTCAAACATTATTTGTGAATAATATAGAATATTTTAGATGCTTTTATAGATGTTATAAAATATTTTAAGTATTTTTAATATTTATATATCACACTTAAAAAGAATATTTTGCCAAAAAAAAAACATTAAATACACATTGTAAATGTTAATAGAAACAGTCTTCAGTATTCATCTTTGATTTTGTCAAAACAAATCTTATAAAATCGGTGAAGTCAAAATTTGTACGCAAAGTCTATCTATACTAAAAAAAGGTAGATTCAAAATTCTTTATCTAATTTCTTTTTTTCCTTATCTAATTCATTCTTATTATCTAATTGTATAGAAATCAGTTCTGATTTTGTGTAATCCTCTAATTGTATTTGTATCATATCCGATAAAATCGGTTTAACAAAAAAAATCCCATAACATCCGATAAGTAAAAAAAAGTACGTAAAATCTTTATTAAAATAAAAAGGCTTTATTTATTATCTAATTGTATGGAAATCTGTTTTGATTTTATATTACGTACTACAAATTGTGCACCCGTGTTCAGGAGCTACTTAACCGGCAAGCTATGTAGAAATAACTCATTTAGTGCTTTTGTCCCGTGCATACGGTATGTATTTGTATTACACATACTAGAAAATTGTGCACCCCGTGCATCACCCGTGTTCACATTTTGGCCTATTACAGGTCACGTACTATATATATCCTGTACATTTTTCTTTATTCATTTATATAATTATAAAACTTGATAAATAGCCTTAATTTTGTGCACCCCGTGCATCGCACGGGATCTGTACTAGTTACATGAATAGTCTAAAGCGACCAAGTTTAGAGGATCTTTTTGCATACGTACCACGCTTTGAGAGGATTTTTTTTTCGAGGAATTTACACCCCTTACAATCAGTTATTATTTATATTACACTTATATAACCATTTTATTTTTATTTATAAAATCACTAAATCAACACAAAAGTATTACAATTATGCCTAATATCCCATCAATACAAATCAATTATCACAGCAGCCCTTTCTCTCACTCTCTCCCTCTCTTCGTCTTCTCTCCCCCTCCCTCTCCCTCTCTCTTCTTCTTCTACAACTTACGTTTATATCTTCTCTTCCCCTACAATTAAAAACAATATTAAATCACTTTGTTCCTCTTCATCAGAAAACACGAGATGACGAACCTCATATAGGTAATGGCGGACTAGATAGCGATGGGTGAAGGAGAGAAGTTAATCTCATGTGCGCGAATGGCTGAATCTCCAAACACCAAATCAGTGCGCTGATATCGATACGAAATCATATGATTCAAAGCGATCAAAGAGTGTGCCATTCATCACCGACGAAGAGAACGAACACTGCAGAACTGGTAATGGAATTGGGAACAGAGCGAAATCTTGCAAGGGATGCATTTATTATTCTTCGTGTTTCAAAGCCGATTCTCGGAATCCTATCTGCGTGGGCCTCACTCGTTCCCTTCCCAATGGTAGCCCTAATTTCTTCGTTCAATTTTGTTTTGTTTTCTTTCGTTTTTGTATTTAATACGCATTTGATTTGTAATTGTTATGATTTTTCATTTATTTTCTTTCTTTATTTTTCATTTGTATATATTGTCTGACCTGGTCCACCTGGATGTTGTGTTTCCATGTAGCTTGAAGTTTCATCTATATTGCAACTTTGAAAAAGGAGAGGAGGAACAAGAAAAAAGAGAAAAAAAATGTACTGTATTGTCTTAGTTATGCACAATTAGTTTGTGAATGGAAGTTTATTTTTTTTGTGTTCAATGTTTTATTCATAGTTTATGTTGGGTATATTTGAAGATTTTTTTGTTATAAAATGAATTTGACAAAACATAAATTGATATTTTTTTATATGTATGGTTTATATTCAGTATATTTTTGGTATATGATAAAAAAATTTATTGCGAGACATAATTTTTATGTATAAAATCAATTTATATTTAGCATAAACTGATTGCAACATATACTGAATATATACTAACATAAACGCAATATATACCACCTGACAATTGCGTGAATTAAGGAATTCCAGTTGCGCACATATACTGAATATATACTAACATAAACACAAAATATACCACCTGCTGCGTGGATTAAGGAATTAAGGAATTCCAGCTGCGCACATATACTGAATATATACTAACATAAACGCAAAATATACCATCTGACAGCTGCGTGAATTAAGGAATTAAATAAGTCAGTTATTTATTTTCATTTCTCTCTCTTATGAGTCTGCTATAATTAAGGAGCTATAATTAAGGATGGGCCGTTTTATTTATATGGTTATTTTATATGAGGCATACTTCTAATAAAATCCTAGATTTTAGGTATAAATACAATTAATTTGTCCCACTAGTAAAAATGCAATATCTTACAATTCTTACGGGACGAGTGAAAATTTTCCTTTTTTTTCCCCTCTTATTTTAACCTCGTAGGCCAGATGGAATATATACACAAAAATTAAAATGATCATTTGATAGCAATTACAAAGTCACTAAAAAATATTCCGCAGGCCCAATCTGAGGAAAGCTTATATGGAGAAAATATCAAAACTAGTCCCCATGTTTTTGGGTTTTTTACTTTTAGTTCTATTGGAAAATAGTTCAGTACGGAATAAAAAATATCCTTTTATCATATAAATAATGAAAGATATGTGTTTGAAGGAATTTATTTGAAAAGGCTCTTGATTTCATACAAAATGTGCATTGGATGAAAATACCCCTAATATCGTTTTATTAAATATCCTTAAAAATACATTTTCTTTTTTATTTTTGTTTTCTCTATTATCCTTTCATTCATTCATTTATTATTATTATTATTATTATTATTATTATTATTATTATTATTATTATTATCATCATCATCATATATATATAAATATTGCAAATGCATAACTATATACAAATATTTTTTATTTTCTTATATCATTATTTATGAGAATAAAAACGGCCATGTCATTTGTTTGTAAAGTTTGTAGCATTTGCAAAAAAAATTATTTGATTGCATAAATTTGGTTTCTAACAAATCGATATGTTTATTTTTATATTATCCTAATTTTACAAATGTTTGAAATATTTGAAAATATGTTTACAACGTGTGATTAAATAAAAAGCAGGAAAGGCCCTTGCTATTCTTATTCGGACGACCTGGCCTGGTCAAAATCGAGAATTATGCAATCAAAATATTTTCTATCGGCCGTTTTTTCCCTTCCTAGATTATTATTTAGATAATTCTTAATATTAACCAGTTCTTTATTTTCCGATTGCCTTGAAGGGACAAAAGAAAGATCTTGTTCTTTCTTCAACAATTTCTGATCTCTTTTGTTTTGTCTAACTCACTTCCTTATTTTTATATTATCCTAATTTTACAAATGTTTGAAATATTTGAAAATATCTTATGGAATGATTAAATATTACGATTTACGATATTATGGAAAAATTAATAAAGATTTGGTAAATCTTAATAATGAGAACATTTTTTTTTTCTTTCAATTGTGAAAATGAAAAGAAAAATGTTATTTTAGTGGGACTGATCAATATTGAAATATCTCTTTATTTATGAGACTGATTTTGATATTTGTCCATGTCATTCGCCACTCAGGAGTTAAATAGACCAGTTGTAATATTATTAAGACACGTCGGCATGACCTGTCATCTTCGTTCCGAAAAAGGTAGTTTCGGCAACAGTTGTCCTTAATTTTGATTGAATTTAAAAAGTTAGAAGACTGGTTTTGAGAAACACCATTCCAAGGGGCCAAAAAGTGGAAAACCCGAAAACAACTGGACTAATTTTGATATTTTTCGATATTTTTCCAGCTTATATGAAACATTGAATGTATGGCATTATTCAGCAGCACAGCAACAAGTAGCTGGAAGCTATACTTGTGATACTATGAACGCAGACATAACATCAATTGTTGTTAACATGGTGATTTGACTTATTTGTGGTCCATTAAACCACATTGTCATCTGACTTATAATCATCCACTCCTTCAATGTTCCTAAGCCAGAAGGTACAACTCAATGATGCAGCATCACTTGGTACACCATCCATCACCCATTCTTGTCCAATTGGAGAATATATTCCGGTCCGTGGGTCGGGCATCCAGCAGATTCCCCTCTCCTCTGGCGGCTGCCGCCCTTCATTAGCCACCACAGTCTCGGAGATTTTTTCGGAGTTTCCGAATTTGCCCTTTTGTCTTGCCAATTTGCTCATGCAACGTCCAATTCCTATGTTTTCCCTGTTTTAAGTAAATAATTATATTCCAAAACACCAAATTTTGAAAAGAAGAAAAAAAAAGGCAACAAATTAATGGAAATGGAGTTGATTAGAAGCATACACTTTGAATGGTTGTAACATGAGTAGCGTCTTTGTGTTGGTTATATTTCTGGCCATGGCTCTTAAAATCTTCTCAAAGTGCGCTTCACAAAATTATTTTAGATTTTGTGCAATTGTCGTCAAATGCAACTCCGGAGCGAATGAAATGCACAATTAATCAAGACAAATATATATATAGATGTATATTGTGTATAAACTGGAATAAATTCTGTTGTTATCTTTGAAAAGAAGTTGAAAGGTATAAAAGATGAGTAAGAAATGCAAGAAACCTGTTTTTCTTCTAATGTATACACTTTCAGGGACATTATTCGAATTTCGATGGAGCAATCTGTGGTGTTAAACTCCTCGTCCTAAAGGCGTAGTAGCAAAGTTTATATACATTTGGGTCAAAAGTTTTGATTTTAATAATCATGTAGAATATATATATTCTTGACGCAATATGGATTGAACATTTGCGATTGGACCTGTCAATCGCGAGGCAACGCACTTTTAATTTGCTAAAAACTCTCGCTCCTTATTGCCTAAGACGAAAAGTTAAATATTTCCTTAATTAATCAGTCATTTACCAATTGCTGCTCCTGCTACTTTCTCTCTCTAGCTCCGCCCCTCTTTTCACTTTTCCGAGTCTCTCTCTTAGGGTTTTCTTAACCAGTCTCTCAATTCAGAAATGGCGCAAGAGTTGCAAAACGGTGCTGGAGCTGACAACGGCTCGGAGGGAGCTGCGGCGGTCAAGCCGTGGTTGGTGGTGGAGTCACCGAAGGCGAACGACGCCGTTCAGTTCTACAAGGCGGCGTTCGGAGCTGAGGAGGTCAGCCGCGTGAATCACCCCAAGAGGAAGGCGGAGCAGGAGATCCCTCTGGTTCTCTCTGCTGAGCTCAAGCTTGGATCCTCTGCTATTGTTGTCTCCGACCTCATTGACGACGCCTCTGCTCCGGTGAAATCTGCTGTTACCGGAAGCGTGTTCTGCTTGGAGACCGGTGATGTTGAATCCGCCGTCACCAAAGCGGTGGCTGCTGGCGCTGTTGCTGAAGGCGAGATCTCTGAGGGTGAAGGCGCGTTTGGTGGTGGGCGCGTGGGGAAGGTGATGGATCCCTACGGCAACGTCTGGCTCATCTGCACCCCATCTAAGAAGGGTGGTGACGTGGCAGCATAAGAGCCCTCGATCTGACTGAAGCACTCCAACAACTATTTCTAATTACTATCTAGTCCTTAGTTGCTTTTGTTTTGTACCTAATCAACCCGGATTTGACACCTTTTCTCTTATTTAGGAGAGAAAAAAATCGGTAGATGGACAATTTTAGGTGGAACTTTATTTTGCTTATCGTCTTGTCGTTGATTAGTGGGTTCTGAACAATCAAATCTAAGTGTTAACTCTTCTTTGAAAAAAAAATAAAAAAAAAATATTTTCTTAATTAAAAAATATACATCTTTTTGGGTTCGCTATATTGAACTAACATGGTGAAACACAGCGGAAATTAAACAAAATAAAACAAGTATTTCTTGAATAACTCCGTCTGCTCACATAGCGTTGTAACGATCGACATTTTTTAAAATCACGTAATAGTACGAATTTTGATTTATAAGGAATTTCGAAAATTACCTTTAATTTTCTTTGAATAACGACGACTGAGAAGGAATCAATTCTCGAGTATGTGGCTATTATCGTTTTTGTCCGTCTCGCCGTAGGGATCCACGCTTCTCCCCTCTAAGCAAATCCATCCTCTTGGATTACGACACCGAATGACCTTCTTCGTTAATAAAAAGTTGTCCCGATCTTCAATTGGAATTTATAATAAATTAAGAGAGGAGATAAAAATAAAAACTTTTTTTTAAGGAGCCAAAAGCTCTCGGTCTCGCACAGAACTTCAAAATAATAATAGAAGAAGAGCATATTTTTAAACATTTCTGAAAACTAATTTCAGATACAGGTCTAAGTATATTTATTTGTTTTGTGAATGTGAGGAGTTTGTGTATTCTCCTCTGGGGATCTTTTATTTTTCTTGTTCATATTGTAGTGTATGTTGTGGTATCTAGGCTGGCTTGGGTAGTCTTCATATTCCGGCTAGTGAGCCGGTTGTAATTATGTGTTTAGTGAATGAATTCTTTTAAGAAACTAATTTTCAAATTACTTGGTCAAAAACCCTAACATCTCTTTTTTGCATCATCCTTAAAACAAACAATTCTATTCTCTTATTTGTGGCTCTTAATTATACAGACATGTAAACATGTAGACTTGAATTGTAAAGTCAAACTTTAAAGATTTACCTATTAATTTAGTAATTCTAGTAATTACTTAATTAATATCTCAAACTCAATCAATCAAACCAATTGATTAATTTATTGTATTTCTTGAATTGACATATAATCAAAATTAGATTTAATTAAATAATCAAATTATTTAATTAAGTCTTGTCAATTAATCCAACTACTGGAAATACCAATTTTAAATGTCATCATCTAAAAATTGGTGTGACCCTTTTAGGTTCATGATTAACACTAGTAGCGGGTTTGCAACTCATTTGTAATTTTAATTAATATAATTAATTTATATTTTTAAATTAACTCCTTAATTTCAAGAACCCAAAAATCATAATAACACCTAGCAAGTAGCATGATTATCTAGTGCTAAGTGAAAGAGAGAGTAAAACTTTTCAATTGCAAGTGCATACATGTAAAATTCTTTCGACATCTAATTACTCGATTAAATCTTGGGCATGGATTTATAAGTCCAAATCCAATTGATTTAATAACTATTATCTCATCAAAGATCGAAAAAAATCATGAGGCGATACCACCTGATTAGAGAGATCATTGGTAGAGGCAATGTCGTTGTGGATCGTTCACTTCAGCAGACAATGTAGCAGATCCCCTGACTAAGTCCTTGTCATAGAAAACTATTGACGGACATCTTAAGAAATGACCCAAAAATACGTGGGTCATTGGAACTATTGCAAGTGGGAGATTGTTAAAGTGGAATACCCGACGTTCTAATCTGATTCGATCTTTTTCTACTTATAAAAACAATTTATTGGAAATTATATTATTTTTAGGCACTGTTTTATCTTATGTCTCTACATTTATTATATATTTGCACATATGATAAAGTCCTTAGATTGTTTTTAGCTATGAGGCATGGTTGCGCATTTGATGGCAATCATGGAACACAGAAATAAAGTTGTGGTCTTAAATAAGTTCCAAGTCAATTGGTGTTTCGCGACAGGACATTGAATTATCCGGTAAGACTTGTGCATATGATGCATGCTCGTTGGATGAGGATGTTGCATTCCATCAACATTAGCGTGTGGACGCAAATGCATGTATGTTGGTACTTGTTGGGGAACACGTTTACTGAACATGGCCCGATGAGAATTCTTGGATGAAAGTTTTTAATCGTCGAATAAGAATTTTCATGTTACGTAGTACATGACTGATCCTTTAACTTGAGGCACGATAATAATCTTTTGCATGTCGTGCTTTACTTTGATTTATTCTTTGCTTGCTGAACAATCATAAAAGGGATATTTTTGGTATTGTATCAATAAGTATAGAGGTTTATCAGTGGCCAACATAGAATTCGACACTTATGCGGATAAGTGAATTTTCTATACTTTTCATAGTTTGCGATTCAAAGTCCTTGACCAAGGCGGGATGAATATGGATTCATAAAGGAATCACTAAACTTTAAATGAAATAATAGTTATTAAATCAATTGGATTTGAACGCTATAGACCCATTATTATACAACAAATCATTATTGAATCAATAACAAACAGGACTACACCCAGCCCTTGAAAAAGTTCCGTATCCAAACGACCTCTTTCACACAGTCTGATGTTGCAATGTATTTAGCCTCGGTAGTAGAGTCAATAGTAGTTTCTTGTTCGGAACTTCTACAACTAACTGCTTCCCCATTCGAGGTAATTATGTACCCGGTCGTTGATTTTGAGTTGTCTTTATCGGACTGAAAACTAGAGTCAGTGAACCCTTCTAGTTTCATTTCTTCATTGCCGTATATCAATAAGATATCCTTAGTCCTTCTTAAGTACTTAAAGATCATCTTAACGGTCTTTCAGTGTTCCTCCCCTGGATTGAACTGATGTCTGCTCGTGACACTAAGAATAGTGCCCCGTTTATTTGTGTATCTTTGGGAATTATTTATTATTATTATTATTGACGATCATTATTATTATTGCGATATTAGTAATATTATTATTGTGATATTATTGAATGTCTAAATATTATTTGCCTAATTGTAATTAATTGCCTAGAAGCGTAATTTATATTATTATTATTATTATTATTATTATTATTATTAATACTATACTCGATTTTTATTTTATTCGTCGTGTGATTAAATCGAACCTCAGAGCCAATTTATTTTCTCAAAACCCGCATGGACCGGCCCGGTCGAGCCAAACCCGCGCCCGGCCCAACCGAACCTCCCAAAGACCCAAATTCCTCCCTTTCATGCGTGATGTGTGTGCGTTTTTTTTAATTATTCTTGTGGAACAAGAAAAGTCAAACTTAGACTATGGTGTATAAATACACATTCTGTATCTATTTTTCTTCTTTCGTATATTTCATCGCGCAGCTCAATCTGCCGATCTCTTCCTCTCACGCTCAATCTCTCTCGTGTTTTCTCTGTTGGGAAAAATACGCTGAATTTTCCATGAAGTCGGATCTATAAAAGTGAAATAAAAAATAAAAATTGGACACACCAATTTGATAACGGAGTTCGACCAATAATGCCTACGTCTCCGGACTACTGCAGATATTTTATTGGGAAAAAGAAATTACACTCGTGTTTACAAAACACTCTCGAAACCACTCACAACTCACAACTCAAATACACACAGAAGCAAAAACTTTTGCTTCTTACTCACACCTTTTTTTTTTCTCTTTTTCTTCTTGGTGTGTTGTTGTATTTTTCTTTTCGGTTGTGGTGTGTTGCTCATGAGAATCCCCCTCAATTTATAGAGGGGGAATTGCACCATTTTTCCACAATGGTGTACTCAATTTTTCCACAGAATTCAGCAGCCCAAGGCTGCAAATTTTCCAACACGTCTGATGCCTTTTTTCTTTCTTTGTGTGCTTGTCCAAGAAAGTGGCTTGCAGCCATTTATGACTCAACAATCTCCCACTTGAGGACTGATTTCAATATGTCCTCACACCTAAATTACTGCAGTAGTCTTCTCCGGTCTGTTATTCTAGCAGGCCAACTGAAGTTGAGCACAACTTCAGTTTGTCAATGGTCACCACCTTCGTTAGCATATCTGCTGGGTTCTTGCTTCCTACAATCTTCTTCAATATCAACACTTCATCCTCGAGAAGAGATCTGATGAAATGATTTCGTATGTCAATGTGTTTAGTTCTGGAGTGAAACACCGAGTTCTTTGCCAGATGTATTGCACTTTGACTATCACTGTGCAAGACACTCTCTTTTTGAGTGAAACCCAACTCTGCTAACAATCCTTGAAGCCATATCAATTCTTTGCTGGCTTCTGTCACTGCTACATACTCAGCCTCTGTAGTGGATAGAGCAACAATCTTTTGTATCTGCGACATCCAACTAACAGCTGTAGCTCCGACAGTGAAAACATAACCGGTGGTGCTTCTTCGGTGATCAACTCACCTCCGAAGTCTGCATCTACATAGCCCTGTAACTTTAGATCTCCTTTTCTAAAATACAGACATTTTTCGGTTGTGCCCCGTAGATATATCTCAAAATCCATTTGACTGCTTCCCAATGAGCTTTTCCTGGTTTTGACACAAACCTGCTCACAACTCCCACTGCATGGCCAATGTCTGGCCTCGTACAGACCATCGCGTACATCAAACTTCCAATGGCTGAAGCATAAGGAATCTTAGCCATGAACTCTTCTTCTTCCTTTGTTTGAGGAGACTGATCCTTGGATAGACGAAAATGGCTGGCCAAAGGTGTACTGACTGGTTTGGCTTTGTCCATATTAAATCTCTGCAAGACACGGTTGATGTACTCTGCTTGAGATAACTGCAAAACTCCCTTTTGCTTATCTCTCGTGATTTGCGTTCCAAGGATCTTCTTTGCTGGGCCTAAGTCCTTCATGTCAAATTCTTTTGACAACTGCATCTTCAATTTTCTGATGTCTTTCATATCTGATCCTGCTACTAACA